CCATTCCCTATTCATTTAGAACACTCTAACATTTAGGGCTCTATTTTAACAATCTTGGCACAAAGTTGCGTCGCACCATAGCGCATTTGCTATTCACAATGCAGACTCTGTAAGTGTAAAAACTGAACACTTCACTAGCGAGAAAACAGTTAAACAGAGCACCTGCAGCGCGAGAGAATGAGAGATGAGCCTCCTCATTATTTACTTTCACTTTCACTCTCGTGGATAAGGAAACGTGTTGTACATCCTTTAGCCTATACATGATTAACTTAGTTTGCTAAGCGCAAAGATTTGTTTCAAAACTATTTCTGAATTCAGTTGTAATCTCCAGCAAAGGAATAAATGAACAATAATAATGAAGTGTTATATCCAAATACACATGCTGCGCCCCATATGGTCTAAAACCTGACAGGTGGACAAATCTAAGCTTGTTTTTAATAAAATAAATATAAATCTGCATATAATAATCAATACTGCAAAGGCAAGGCATGGCAAGTTTATTTCTATAGCACATTTTATACACAGCGGCAATTCAAAGTGCTTTACATAAACAGGAATAAAAGAAGCAAGTATAAGAAAAATAAAAATAAATAATAAAAATGATAAAAAAAAAACATAAAAACAGATAAAATGTGTTATAAAAGAATGAAAGAGAAGAGAAAAACATAACAGTGCAATCTGTCGGACGCAGCACAGGGCTCATTCAGTAAAGGCACAGCTAAACAGATGTGTGTTCAGTCTTGATTTGAATGTGCCTAATGTTGGAGCACATCTGATCATTTCCTGAAGCTGATTCTCTCTTGCGATTTCTAGTTTATTTGATCCTACAGATCTGAGTGACTTGAAATATAGAAAGCAAGTGCGTGTTTTTAGCAAAACTAATATTGGATTTTATTTTAAATGTGTGTGTGTGTAAAACAATATAAGTTACTCCACCTCGTTTAGAGCATCATTATGAGCGTTTTACGTTATAACTAACGATGGATCTGCGACAGAGACACTACAGGTTTTGGGAAACACTCGTCACTGCATCATTCTTTTCTCAAACGATGCATCGTACTTTGATAGTTCAGCCGCGAGTTGTGTCGTTGTTTGGGAAACGCACCCCTAAACAGTACACATTGATTAAGTACCATTACAATGGGCTCTATGCACAGCTAGTGTTTTTCAGCCAATGATGAACTTCTGGTGAAAGCTTAATGTGACTATTTTCTATTTCATAAGCCTTCCTTTACAGCATCAACATAAAATATAATCACTTAAATAGACATAAGCATTCATTTGGTTTTTAAAAAGACATGAAAAACCGTTTAAACGCAGTCGCTGTCATTAGCGGCAGGCAAGTGCAGAAATTCCATTGAGAATACCGAAGTTAAATTAACTTCCATATTTTAAAGACATGGCACTGGAAATATAATTTAATGCAGCGCTTCGTGTTTGGTCTGATACACACTTTACATCGTATATTAGCCAAGCAGAGAAGATCGCTGTTTTTTTTTTTTTTTAAATCAGATCTTAAATGCAGCGATTTTGTACGGGATGACGATAAACCAGAAGCCCTGAGGCTGGCTGACTGAAATTAAAAGTCTGTATGCGTATACCCCATCGTATATAATATGTAACTCATTGAATTGTCACATATTTGTGTTGATGGCTTTATCCCTACTCCTCGTTGAGCTCCTGAAAGTGTAAAATCATTCCTCCTTCTGCTCTGAGCACCAGCTGATAGAGACGCCGCACTGGTTTGGGCCCAGGCAGGATCTTGAACCTGGCTAGAGTCAGAGCCACCACCACCTTCATCTCTGCCATGGCGAAGTTCTGTCCGATGCAGTTCCTGCAGATGGAGATATGCACCGAGACCAAAATCACATACTTCTCTCATGGAGGTATATCACATTTGAATTTGATCTTACTTCACGGCTATTAGAAACGTACGCTCTAGTTCACGAGTTCACACTCGCAGATATTTGACTGAGTGAATATGCGTATTAGGCGTGCTGTCTGTGGAGAGGGCTCTGAGCTCAGAAAGACACCCTAACTCGTGTTTTTCCCCTTATCAGGATAGAGAGAGAGATAGGGGTCCGAGCACAGTGTCTAAACTGGCTCCAGAACGCTCCCCGCTCAGATTTAAGGAGGTATAGGGTTTATAATGCTGCGTTCACACCAGACGCGGAACGCGTGGATAAATTGCGCTATTTGCGTGTAAATAACCGCGTGAAAATTTGAGTTTACTCGCTTCATTCGCGCATCAAATCCGCTTCATTTGTGTGTCAAATTCACATCAGAACAGATGCGGATTCGCGTGATGGACAGGGCTTCTGTCTGCCCGGTGACTCTAGCTTCATAGCTAAAGGGCTAACATGGATTTTACTGAGAAAATAACAGTGTTTATGTGCTTTATGAGGACTGAAAAACAGTGTCGATACGTTTAGGGTCGTGTCTGAGTCCACTAGATTCTTTCAGAGGAGCTCTGTGAGCTCATAAACTCCTCCAGAAGCTGAACCTGGATGACGGAGGCTTTCAGCGGTGCGTCTGACTGAGCCCAGCCCAGTTTGATGAACTTTCTGTCGGTGTCGGCAAACCAACAACAGGTGTACGTCACAATCACGCCCCCACAAGAACAAGCTCCTGATTGGTTAAAGCGGCGTGAATGTCTGCTGAAGTTCAGACTTTTGAACTCGAGCAATTCGCGCAAAATGCTTGTCAAACGCGCAAAACGATCTATTCGCGGCATTTGCGCAATTCGCGTCACGCAATTCGTTTGTATCACGCCGCAGGATGTCTATTCGCACGTTTGCATTGACTTAACATGTAAATCACTCGTGTTTGATGCATGTTCCGTGTCTGGTGTGAACGCAGCATATGAGTGGAGTTGGGGTGGTACAGGGATGCTCAAGAGAAAACAGAGGTAGGACTAGCTTGATGATTTATAGGGGTTTGGTCTTAAGCTAATTGGATAGTAGAATGATTGTCAATAATAGCTCATTTATTAGCGGAGAACAAACACCACAGTGAAGAATCCCAACAGTGCAGCAGACTAGACTCCTCTCAGTGATATCTGTGCAGGAGCTGAGGAGGTGATGCTCTTCTGTTTCTCATTGATTTATTCAATACTGTTATATACTAGGGATGTAACGATATTGTAAATACCGTCACACCGCAATAGCAATTTCTTTCAATATTAACATGGCTGTGACTTAATAAAATCAGAGGTCTTTTGGTGAAAAGTTTGCTCAGGTGAATGGAGTGAATGGGAGGTAGCGGGAACTACAATTCCCATCAGCCCAGGCGTGGCCATCATCCTTTGCGGTCTGTTGTCGCTACAGATCCAGTAAAAAATACAGATCCATTTTTTACATGGTTTAATATTTTTTGTTATTAAAATTGAATAATGTAAGTTCCTGTTTGAACGTACAGATAGATAATTTGTATATCATTGATCTGTTCAGTGTTCAGGTAACCTGAACATTCTAGCACTTTTTTGAGTCTCTTCAATAGTTTTGTTTTTCCTTTAAATGATTCAATAAATACCGTACCGTGCCATTCATACCGAGGTATTACCGTATCGTGAAATTTAGATACCGTTACATCCCTAATATATACCATATTACAGTTTGTGCATAAGTCATTGAATGGCAGCATAGCTATTATCACATGACCTGCCACACTTGTGTTGCTTCATTCCCAGTCATTAAATTCTCCAGTATATTTCCTAATGGGATAGTGAAGTGTTCATTGGATGCGCACTTCAGAATCTCACTGGAAGTTGTAGGTCATCTAGATACTTCTCGTCTACTGTGTTCAAATACTATGAATTCAGACATACTACTCTTTTGCATACTGCGTTTAATGTACTATATTGTAGGGAAGCATGTGATTCAGGATGCACAATGTGTGCTGGAGTACCTGGGACCTGCGGAGAACGGGATGAAGGCGTGAGGAGAGCGGCTGTCTGAGTTATGTGGGTCGAAGCGCGTCGGGTCGAACACCTACACACACAGAAAACACAACGTTAAACACTAATGCATAACTCTGCACATCTCAGCTCTGTGTCCAGTGGCCATCTCAATTTTAAATACATCAATAAATGATGACTTACCAGTGGATCCGGCCAGACTTGAGGGTTTCGGTGGACACCATAAATACTGATCAAACACAGGCATCCTGTACACACACACACACACACACACACAGCTCACTGTAAAACGGTAACTTTGATTCTTAGTGATTTTCAGTCACTTTCAGTGATTCTCAGCGACTCTCAGTGATTCTCAGGAACTCTGTGACTTTTAGCGACTCTCAGGGATTCTGTGAATCTCAGCGACTCTTAGTGACTCTCAATGACTCAGTGATTCTCAGGGACTCTCAGTGAATCTCTTTGTGACTCATTGATTCTCAATGACTCAGTGACTCAAAGCAACTGGCAGTGACTTTCAGTGACTCTCTCTCTAACTCTGAGTGACTCAGTGATTCTCAATGACTCAGTGACTCAAAGCAACTGGCAGTGACTTTCAGTGACTCTCTCTCTAACTCTGAGTGACTCAGTGATTCTCAATGACTCAGTGACTCAAAGCAACTGGCAGTAACTTTCAGTGACTCTCTCTCTAACTCTGAGTGACTCAGTGATTCTCAATGACTCAGTGACTCAAAGCAACTGGCAGTGACTTTCAGTGACTCTCTCTCTAACTCTGAGTGACTCAGTGATTCTCAATGACTCAGTGACTCAAAGCAACTGGCAGTGACTTTCAGTGACTCTCTCTCTAACTCTGAGTGACTCAGTGATTCTCAATGACTCAGTGACTCAAAGCAACTGGCAGTGACTTTCAGTGACTCTCTAACTCTGAGTGACTCAGTGATTCTCAATGACTCAGTGACTCACAGCAACTGGCAGTGACTTTCAGTGACTCTCTCTCTAACTCTGAGTGACTCAGTGATTCTCAATGACTCAGTGACTCACAGCAACTGGCAGTGACTTTCAGTGATTCTCTCTCTAACTCTGAGTGACTCAGTGATTCTCAATGACTCTCAGTGACTCACAGCAACTCAGTGATTCCCAGTGACTCTCAGTGACTCTTAGTGACTCTCTCTGTGATTCTCAGTGACTCTCAATGACTCTCAGTATCTCTCTATGATTCTCAGCGACTCTTAGTGACTCTTAGTAACTCTCTCTGTGATTCTCAGTGATGATTCTTAGTAACTTTCAGTGATTCTCAGTAACTCTGATTCTCAGTGACTCGTTGTGATTGTTCTGAGGGATTGTTCTCAGTTACCGTGTGGGATAACGCAGTCTCCTGGCGTCTTCATGTTCTGAGAGTAGTATCGGGTGAGCGCCAGGACGGGTGAATGAAGCCTCAGACTCTCCTTGATGCACATGGTGGTGAAGGTCAGCTGACTCAGATCCTCCCTTCAGCCAATCACAGCGCACAATCAATAAAGCAGCATCCCGTTTCAAACACAAACATGTGCTACTGAAAAACATACTACTTTGTGTGTGTGTGTGTGTGTGTGTGTGTGTGTGTGTGTGTGTGTGTGTGTGTGTGTGTGTGTGTGTGTGTGTGTATATGCGGCTCTGACCACCCGATGGTGTGTGTGTCTCTGTCTGCCAGCAGATCTCTGACTTCAGCTCGGCAGCGCTCCTGATAATCCTGATTCATGGCCAGATTGTAGAAGATCCAGGAGAGAGCGCTGGCGGTGGTGTCATGACCTGCAGGAGAACACACACACAGACTCATACGCAAACCTGCAGGATTTTATTCTACGGTATGCACATATCCAGCACCGCCTGCCCCATCACATCTTATTCTTATTTCAATCTCAAGAAACGCTGATGCTTGCTGTAAAGGCCACATTATTTAAGGGCATTCGCTACGACATTGATAGGATCAAACTTGATGATTCCTTTTTAATACTAATATATTTTCTTGAAATCTAAATGTATATTTTCCAGCCAGGGCTGCTTATTAAACACTCCTTCACCTGAACTTGCTGAGAGTGGGACGGAGAAAATGAAAGCACATCAGCACCTTGGAAAAATCAGATGCTCAAGACGTGATCTTTAAAATTATGACATATTAGCGCCAAAACGCGATCTGGTTTGTTAAATAAAATAATAATCTAGCCTAAATAAAATTAAAGTGAAATATTCAGCGTTTCAGAGACGCCTATGTTAAGCTGTTTGAGTGTTAATGACAGACAGACCGACACACTCACACATAAACACACAACCCCATCGGTGCAGTAGCCTAGTGGTTAGCGCATAGACATATGGTGCAGTAGCACGTCAGGGCGTCCCGTGTTCGAATCCCGGCTCGAGGACATTTCCCCACCCCCTCACTCTCTCTCCAACTTTGCTTCCGGTCTAAATACTGTCCTATCTAAAAAAGGCCAAAAATAAATAAATAAACACACAAACACACACACACTACACTCGCGCAAAAACACACACATGCACACACAGACACTCAGACAAATAGATGCACACACATAAACACACACACACA